AGCAGGCTCGGCCAGGAGGCTCACTCTTTCTGCCTCCTCCCCCCAGGATTACCGAGAGGATGGGATGGATCTAGGCAGTGACGCCGGCAGCAGCAGCAGCAGCAGCCGCGCCAGTTCGCAGTCCAACTCCACCAAAGTGACCCCTTGCTCCGAGTGCAAATCCTCGTCGTCGCCCGGGGGCAGCCTGGACTTGGTGTCTGCCCTGGAGGACTATGAGGAGCCCTTCCCAATCTACCAGAAGAAGGTGATTGATGAGTGGGCGCCAGAGGAGGACGGGGAAGAGGAGGAAGAGGAGGACGAGCGCAACGAGCGAGGGTACCGGGATGACCGCTGTCCGGCCGGGGAGCCGGGGGACGTGAGCGCCAAGACCCGCAGCGGCGGCGGCGGGAGTAGGAGGTCCACCACCGCTATGCCGCCCCCGGTGCCCAACGGCAACCTCCACCCGCACGACCCTCAGGACCTCAGGCACAATGGCAATGTGGTGGTGGCCGGTTGGCCGAGCGGTTCTCGGGGCCCCCGCCCGGCGATCCAGAAGCCCCAGCCGGCGGGGGGCCGGCGCGGCGGCCGGGGCCCGGCTGCTGGGGGCCTCTGCCTTCAGCCCACGGACGGCGGGTCGTGCGTCCCGGAGGAGCCCCCGATGCCCCCAATGGACTGGGAGGCGTTGGAGAAGCATCTGGCTGGACTGCAGTTCCGGGAGCAGGAGGTGCGGAACCAGGGCCAGGCGAGGACCAACTCCACCTCCGTAAGTTGGCCGGGGTGCGTGCCCACGCGCGCACACACGCGTACACAACCCACACAAGGCCCGCACGCGCCCTCCCCGCGCTCCCACCGGCCTGCGGCCCCATTCATTCCATCCCGAGGCTGGGGGCCGGGCCGGAGAGCCTGCCTTCTGCTCCCCTGGGGTACGGTTGCCCAGTCTGCGAGCTATCTGGGTTTGCTGGATGGGCGGAGTGGAGGGAGGGGCAGCCAGAGGGCAGCGGAAAGTCGGGTTAGTGGAACCGGCGACTCATTTTAATGGAATTACTTAGGGAGACGTGGTTGTGAGTCACTTGCCTGAAAATAAATCCGAGGAAATTCTGGCACCGAAGCCAGTGCCTGCGGGTGATATTTTAAGTCATAATAGTTGTGGCTTTGTCAACCGTGGTGGGTCTCCCTTCGTTGCCACTAATGTCTTGCCCATATATAGGCTGTCCCTGCGCACACGCTGACACACTCTTCTGCCCACACCTCTGGTCTGGCAGCAGGGTTCGTTCCATTCTGCGTTTAAGCGGATGCTCCTGTATTTGGATGGGTGACCACTCTCCTCCAGGACTTTCTTCCTTTCTGAAACCCGGCCTGTTGTTGACCTGGGGGAACGGAGTGAATTGACCTGCTAGGATGAGGGGGTTGTTTTAGCCTCCGTCGCCTGTGTCGCCTGACTAACTCCCTCCATGGTGAATCTTCCTTGTTTTGATAAGGTGCCTCTTGCACTTCCTCACCGGAGGTCACTGCCTCAATGCAGGAAATCCAGAGAGGGAGGGGTGCTGGAGTGGGGAACGGGAGGGGCGAAAGGAGGGCTGCATGTATAATAAGGAGCTCTGACAGGTTCACACTTGTCTCAATATCTTTTTTGCTCCTGAGAGGAGAACAGATAAATGACTTAAGAGAAAGCATCATGAATGTAGCTTCCCGATTTATCACTGTTTTGATATAAAGCAACAGTTGTAATTTGAAATCATTAATGATTTCCTTAAATGGGGCTGAAGGGCCCCGTTTAAACGTACTGCTTTCTGTGTGTGGCAGCTGTGTGGCAGTGTGGGAAAAATGCTTGCTTGCAGGTGTAATTCTTTGGCTCCAGGGCCCTGGGGCTACTGGAAATTGGGTGCATGCACTTCTGACTTCAGGGGTGAGAATGGTAACCGCGTTTCACAGAGAAATTGGCACAGTTTCCATCAGAGAGAGCCCTTGGCTGATAGAGCCCACTAGTTAGTGTTCCTTGGGAAACTACCTATTAAACTAACACGCTAGTTTTAATCCTAGCTTTACCATGACCACTAGCAGACATGGAATCTTTCTATTACAGCCAACATAACTCTTGTACCTTGCAATAGAAAACATCTTTTTTCCACTTAATGCTTGAGAAAAATACCTCATTAAGCTCCCTGGACTTAAACAATGACCTGAAGATAAATCAGTTTCATTTACTATTGCATGACATTTATACATTCCAGGAAAATGTGATAATTGGGTATACATACAAAGTTAGGACTATGGTGACAATGAGCTCCATTATTCAAAAGTTATTAAACGATGTGTTATTGAGCACTCCTGTGTTATATGCCAGATTTGAAGTATGATTCTCAGTGCTGCAGTTACGCATCCGTCCATGTGGAACTGGGACTGTGGTAAGGAGAGGTAGGGATGCAGAAGGACCCCTCTGGGTACTTAAAATTTAATGGCTTACTAACGGCCTCCTCTCCCCACCCCCCACATACATACATGCACGTACCCCTGTTGTTTTTGTGAAGACTTTGTGAATCTTTTCTTGGGCAATCTTTGAAACCAAAAGCATCTCTTCACCTAACAAACGATTTGCATATTTGGGTTCCTCTCCTTCTCCCCACCCCCCACCCTAGCCCTCCTGAAAATGTCCCCTTTGGGCATTTCCTCCACAAGTCACACAAAGAAATTAGGGTTCCATTGCTTTAAAGCGAGTATGTATACAGAAAAAAGGGGAAGTGGAGGTTGCCTTTGAGGTCGTTTAATATTGAATTTTTCCATGTTTTGGTTTGTCTTTGAACAAAATTACTAGCCAATGGCAGTTTATAATAGTGTTTTCAAACTATGAGTTACCTGTGAAATCACTTTAGCATTTAAGAAAGATGAAATGAAATAGAATGTACTATAGTGCATTGCAAGTAGTCACGGTCAGCTCGGCTTTTTAGAACTTTTGTTACGTTTTTATGTATACACTAGGTCACAAGGTAAGATTTATTTCTTAATGTGGGTCGCTGTTGTAAAAGTTTGGAAAACACTGATTTAAATCCTGTTGATTTCTGCCTAGAATAAGTGGGAAATTTATAACCATGAGGACAGAAACTTGGAAATAAAAAGGAATTGTGTAGAAGAGAAAGCCTGTCTTGGAGTTCTTCAAATCGAATGATATTTTTGCTGTTCTTTAAAGAGTTAGGTATAAATACATTTTAACAGAATTATTATGTACTATTGAAAGGAGGGGTATAAAGTAAAAAAGAGGAGTAGGTGTTCTTTCACCTATAAAGAGAACCACCAAAGGTTGCCCGTTCTCTTTTGGAATTGAGTGACTGGTTCCTTCTCATCATTCCAGACTCTACTCAGCTCTCACCTTCTCAGAGAGGCTGTCCCTGATCACATTCTCTAAAGTGAAGGAAGGCACGCCACCTCCTACCCAGGCAGTCCTGGGGTCTCTTCTTAGTGCTTATCACTACTTGACATTATCTTATTTAGTTTTCCTTCATTTTCAGTCTCTCTAGAATGTAATTCGAGTGCAGGGGACTTGCCTAACCTTTAATTGCTGTAACCTAGTGCCTGCGACAGTGCCTGGGATGTAGTTTCTCAAATATCGAATGAATGGATGGCTTATATTACCACAGACTTAAGCCAACCCTCTCATTTTATAGTTGAGAAAACTGAGGCCCAGAGAAGTCTAGTGATTTGCCTTAAGTCCCAGAAAGAAACCTATGAAAGGGGTTTTGTTCTTTATGCTCACATCAGACTAAGTTTTCTTTCCTTTTTTAATGCTTAAAATAATTTGAAATGAGAGGAAGAGCTCCCACTTCCCTGAAAAAACTTAAAAGGTTTCCTAATCACTAGTCCCTTTTTGTACTTCCTTAGTAAAAGGGCAGAAATAAACTAGGAAATAATGAAAATCCCATTACTTTTGAGTCTCTTTTCTCAGATAGGGTTTGGTTTTGATTTGTTTTAATAGAGTAACACTGAGTTTTGCAGAGCAAAACCCTGACAGAATTCAGTTCTCCTCGCTCCCTCCAGATCTCCTTTCACTCATAAGGACGAACTGAGGTCTCAAAAATGTGTTGACATCAGTCGTCCCTAATTTAGGGAATATTTAGAGGTAAATTAAAAAAAAAAAAACAAAAACGCATACTATTTAGGTGGGATCTAAAACCTAGGGCTGACCTTTGCTACTTGGAGGGTTTAAGCAGCTACTCCCTCCTTTGGGGCCAGGTGCCAGGGGAGGGGGATGAGCTTGGATGAGCTAAGGAACTGGTGGTGTCAGAGCATGGAGGTGCCTGAGGAATTCTGAAGGAAACACTTAGGTGACCTAACTTTTGGCTGTCTTCTCAGAGCAGGCTGCTCCAAGAGAAACCTGCATCGCCTCGGGCAGCGCAAACCTGTCTTTGATGTCCCAAACCACCACCTTGATGTCAGAGTCTTGAGGGCTACAAGGTTACTTATTTCGCTGCCTTTTCCCCAGTAGCTCCACTGTGCCTGGCACGAATGCCTGACACAGGTGGGGAGGAGGAGACCTTCAGCCCAACAACCAGGACTCCCAGGCGTGCCCCATCCAGTTGGCCGGCCCTCGCTCATCTGGTATCCATAGGATTCTCTCAGTCCTTCCCTGGGCCTGCACCACCTCAGGTATGTGGCTGCTCAAGGGTCACACATGATTAAGGAGTAAAGAACGATTCTGGGATGTCAGATTTAGAACCAGGGTGGCAAGTTTAAGGGAGTCCTGCTCCCGTACGTTTGTATTCGCCCTGAATTCTTATCTCCCTGCCTACTCTGACTCTGGCGAACTTGGAGGGCTCTGCCGGAAACCTGGAGCTTCTCTTCACGGTTTCCTCTTTTCTTCTGGTTCTCTTCCTGCCCGCTCAAGAGGCTCCCCCACACATCACTACCTGGGGTGGAGGTGCCCACTGCCTCGGTGTACTCCTCTTCCTAAGTGGAATATAATTTTACTTCGTTTCCTCAGTGGTCTTCCTTTGAGGTTTTTCCTCTCCTTCAGGGTCCGTGGTCCTCCATGTTTAGCCTGTTCTGTCTCTGGAAATTTACTCTCATTTTTTCTCCTACTTCTCCCTCCTTTTGATTTTTTTTTTTTTTTAAAGTAGCTTCATTGAGGTAGAATTGACATACTGCATATACTTAAAATGTATGGTCTAATGAGTTTTGACATGTATACCTGTGAAACTATCACTAAAGTCAAGACAACAAACATATATCCGTCACTCTCCAAAGTATCTTTGTGTCTCTTTGTAATTCCCCTAGTCCTGTCCCTTGGCAACTACTGATCTTATTTCTATCACTATAGTTAGCTTACATTTTCTAAAATGAATGTAAATGGAATTATATCATATATACTCAATTTTGTCTGGCTTCTTTAACTCAGCATATAATTGTTTTGCAATTCATTTGTGATACTGCGTCACTACTTTCTATTGCTAGGTTATGTTCCATTTTATGCATATAGCCTACTCCCCTGTTGATGGACATTTGAGTTGTGTCTGGTTTCCGTCTATTACAAATAAAAGTGCTCGTTACATACAAGTTTTTGTAGAGACATATTCCTTCATTTTTCATGGGTAAATAACCTGGGAGTAGAATGGCTGGACCAGATGGTAGATGTATGTTATTTAACTCTTTAAGAAGTGGCCTGTTTGCCAGAGAAGTTGTACCATTTTACGTCGCCATCGCCATTCTTCTTAATTCAGTCACTGTAACCTTGACTTCCTCTCCCACTGGTTGCTTTTGCATCTGTGTCCTTGG